CGTTGAACCCCGTAGACTGCCATCGACCACCGCCGACCTCTGACGACCACCGCCGACCTCCGACGACCACCGCCAACCGTCGTCGACCTCTGCCAACCGTCATCAATCAACACTAATCATCACGTCGACCTCTGCCAACCGTCATCAATCAACACTAGCCATCATCGATCACCACCAACCAGACGCCATCAGTCGACGTTGTAATCTGAAAAATATAATTACCATTTCCCGTCTGATTATCATTTCCCGTCTATGGGGCAAGAGATTTCTGTAATTGTCAATCAATAGTGGATTTCCGCAACTGGGCCAAACCCTGTGGTTTTTTCCCTTATGGGTTTTCCACGTAAAAATTTTTAGAGTCATCACCACTTATTTCTCTTTTATCTGTGTGTGTGTTGAACTTTCGTACAACGCTAAGACGATAGTCCGCTACTCTACCGTCTCGAATTTTCTAGCACGCATCAATAATAAGGTGGAGCACTCTCAGTGACATCACATGCCGCTTTTTTCTTCCTCTTCAACATCTCCTGTAATTTGTGATCCTGATCGGTAAAGACCACCCTTATTTTTCCCTCATTTTTTATTACCATCAAATTTGCTCGGTAAAGCCCTCTAGATGATTCACATCAACCTGTCTCTCTGTCCATTAGTGATTTTGCACAAGCCTTGCTCAGGTGTCTCACTTCTCCATAGTTGTAGCACCTGCTGATCTTCCCTTGAGCACCAGTCATACTGGAGCTCGATGTAGTCAATTCCTCGTCATTCTTCACATTCACAAATCCTTCAAGCTACCCAAGGGTGTTTAGATCCTTCGCCTCCTTTCTGTCGAGTGCAAGTCCAGAATCAAACGCTTTGTTTCGCTGCCTCCCTCACTCCTAAGCTGCAGATAATATGGTAGAAACCCTCTCTTGCCCTCACGATCCAGTCGGGAAAGCAACTTCTGGATTGCAGTGTACAGAGGCCTGAAAATTCCTATCTCCACTGTTTTATCAGCAATGGTCGAATCTTTAGCCCTTCAAGTGTTGATATGTTGTAGTCGAAAGTCGCATAAATCTCATCGTCGGATGTGAGAAGTATGAAGCCCACTTGGATAGCTCAACCAAAATAAAACCTATTAAGATTCGCTAACTTGGCGTTGGTACCGACTTTGGAGTAGTTGATTGAGGATCAGCAATTGCACCACTTTCGGAGCTAGCAGCAGCAGCAGCATCCTCGTTCTCGATGAGCTTGCGAAGTCTCTCCTGGAGGACGCGGAAACGACCTTCAGTTTGCCAAAGCTTCCGCCACCAGTAGCTTAAATATACACCAAAGCCTCCATGCACAACAGTCGCACAAACAGCTCTCGGCTTTCCCTGGTCAATCTCACTCGCACAATAGAGACACTCGCTCGATTTCACTCTGTACAGCTCTTCCTCCTATACTTCTGAAGCCTCGTGATCGACTCCACTTTGCTGCACAACAATGCCACTCCTCTCTGTCCTGGGTAGGGCGTCCTGGGAGACGACGTGACTCGTGATGTTGCACTTCGTGACCAAACTCTGCGATGCAGTCATGATCAGCTTTGTTGGGAAGGCCTCAACATGACCAGAGCGTGCTAGGAAGGTGACGACGCGATCCAACTCTGCGGCCAGAGCTCGTTGGGAAGAAGGTAACAACGAAGGTCTGGGGTGCTAGGTTACAGCTCTAATACCATATTGAGAATGATTTTGCAATAATCATCTTGTTCATTTCATTATCATTTTGGCTTATATATAGCCACACAACATTTACAAATTGAACTCTTAGAATTCTTCTATTTACAACTAGAACTCTATAATAAATACAAATCTCAACATTTTGCAATGAAGTTTAATTCTTTCCTCCTTCAGAGTATAGCATTGATATATTGTTTTATGATTGCTCAATAAAGAGAGGATCTTTATGGAGTTTTTCAGGCTCAAAAAAGTAATGTTTATGCTCTTATATATGGCATTTTTTACACTTGCAATGGGCATTATATTATTCATTGTCATTCGAGCGGCATGAAAATACCCAGACCAAATTTGAGTCAAATGTTTGACATTCTCTTGTTTGTTAAACTCATTCTATAAAGTTTAAAATAAAGTTGCGTAAAGATAATTTATGTTTGTCTGTTTCATCCAGTTTGTGGTATTGGCAACCTCGAAGGCGATGAACATTTTACACTTAATATGGTTCAAAGGGACGACAAAGAAATGGACATGGAGAAGGATAATTCTGTTATTTCAGCTTTCGGTTGTCCACCATTGAGAAAAAACAGAACTACTGGGTATCCATGCAACCATGATTTAATGTTCCCTCTATTATTAGAGATAATTGATGCTACAGTGAATTTGGCAGGATAGCATGGTACAGTTGTATATATTCAGCTTTTATCAATTTCAGTATATTATGCAAGTACTTGTATGTTTGGGCACTTTGCTTCAGCAGAAAATTATGCTTTCGGATTTGGACAAAGGTTTTGTGCTTTTTATTTATTTATTTAGAGTTCTTGATGACTTTTTTTAGCTTTTGAAGGGCCTCTATTTGTTTTCATTGAACAGAGCTGGTTCTTAAAGCCGGTGTTTCAATGTCATCATCATCTACATTATTGTTTTTCCAGTCATTTATGGTTTATTATTGCTTTTTTCGAATCCATATATTCATCTATTTTGTTTCTACCTAAATGAAAGCAGTGCTTAATTTCTAGCATTCACGTTTTGTTATACATTTTGTAATGCGTGTTTTGTTTTTGTTCATATGTTTCATCCTTTCCAACTTCAAATATGTTTTTGATGATTCTATTTTTATGGGTATAATTAACAATTTTAGATATTGCAGAAAGCGACTAAAGTATCTGTCAGGGTTTTAAGGCTTTAATATTTGATTAGTTGTACGTATGAAACAATGCTTTCTAATTGATTTTCAGGAGTAGTAACGTAGCTCATGCTTTTCGTGCAGGAGTATGAAACAAGTGGGAAGTTCTGTGTCCAGCACTAACCCTGTTTCGTTTCAGAAGAAGAGAAAGGTCAATTTTTTTTTCTTCAGTTTGATTTTTGTTATGAAACTCCGCACTATTAGTTGCCTTTATTTTTTTTCTTAGAAAAGATATCCACTGTTCTTAGTTGTTCTCGCATAACTCTCATTTGACTCTTGATGCACGCTTCATGTTTTCACTATTTATCACCTTTAATCGATACTCCAGCATAAAGCTAGTTTCAAACCGTTTTTATTTATTTTTTCATTATGGAAAACCTAGTGCTCTTGTCAAAATTATACCGTATGGTCCGTCTCCTCCGGACACGTGGCGTAATTTTATTGGAGTCCTGATGCATTTTTACATCAGGAATCCTCATGTAATATTTTTTTGATGTAATATTTTTTCGTTACAAAAAAATATTACAGCAGGAGTCCTGATATAAAACTGCATCAAGACTCCAATAAAATTGTGCTACGTCACACGATGGACCCATTAAATAAAAAAAAAATGTATACTTTAATGTATGGTCTGTCTCCTCCGGACACGTGACGTAATTTTATTGGAGTGCTAATGCATTTTTACATCAGGAATCCTGATGTAATATTTTTTCGTTACAAAAAAAATATTACAATAGGAGCCCTAATGTAGAACTGCATCAGAACTCCAATAAAATTGTGCCACGTCACACGATAGACCCATTAAATAAAAACAATTGTATACTTTAATGTATGTCTGCCTCCTCTGGACATGTGATGTAATTTTATTAGAGTTTTAATACATTTTTACATTAGAAATCCTGATGTAATATTTTTTCATTACAAAAAAATATTACAGCAGGAGTCTTGATGTAGAACTGCATCAGAATTACAATAAAATTGTGTCACGTCACACGACGGACCCATTAAATAAAAAAATTCTATATTTTAATGTATGATCTGCCTTCTCCGGACACATGACACAATTTTATTGGAATCCTTATGCATTTTTACATCAAGAATCCTGATGTAATATTTTTTCGTTACAAAATAATATTACAGCAGGAGTCCTGATGTATAACTGCATCAAGACTCCAATAAAATTGTGTCACGTCACACGACAAACCATTAAATAAAAAAATTCTATACTTTAATATATGATCTGCCTCCTCCATTCACGCGGTGTAATTTTATTGGAGTTCTGATGCATTTTTACATTAGGAATCCTGATGTAATATTTTTTTCGTAGTTATAGGACAATTTTCAGTTAACCTGCACAACATTGTTATTTAACGTGTGTTTTGTCATTGGAGGCATTTGTTCATTTAAAACTTCTGTGCGAACTGCTAAATTAGGGCTTCCTGGCCGTAGATGAAGCCCCCTGGCCGTAGATTGTTGAAATTTTAAATATTGCCAGCATATTAAATTTTCTTAATTCATTTGAAATTATCATCCTTGTTAACATCAACTAAAGGTATAGGTAATATTGAGTTCTCTCTCTTAAAACTTCATCCTGAACAAAATCTGATGGCTATAGCGCACATACACCAAATGCAATTAGTTTTATGTGGAAGAGTTTGACAATAAATTTACTGGATTGTAGTAAAAAATAGGAGTGTCATCTATAAATCTATATATTTAATCAAATTCTCATAGTTCAAAATACTTCAAGGATGTACGGCTCAACTCCTACTAACAATTCATAGCTATTTTTTATTTATTAAGATAAACATGAAATAAGAAGTCAATTTAAAGCTATTTATTTTTTAATTTAACGTCATGTTATTTATTCAGTAATACTTCAAATACATTTATATTTTGTTATATTGTTTGTCATTCAAATTTGAATGTTAATTTCTATTAATTGCTTCCTTGAAATTAATTGAAAGGTTAAATTTTTTCTCTATTATTAGGAACTTCAATAAGGCCTTTTTCAATTGTAGGTTTGAGCTTGTTGTTATGATTAAGCATCAACTTAATTTTGAATGAAAGAAAAAAGTAAAAAATAATCATTGGATTGTTTTAGTTTCAAACTTTCTAATATTTTAATTTAGCCTATTCTGATTCAAAATAATTCCTTCACTCTTCAAATTTAACCTAAAATAATCCTATAAAAAGATTATATTGGATCATATTTGATGAGTCAAGGAAGAAAATTGAATATATTAGATATTTGTGACTAAAATGGCCTCATACAATAATCTAAAAGTGCAAATAATCTCAAATGCGAATGAAAGAAAAAAGTAAAAAATAATCATTGGATTATTTTAGTTTCAAACTTTCTAATATTTCTAATTTAGTCTATTCTAATTCAAAATAATTCATTGACTCTTCAAATTTAACCTAAAATAATCCAATAAAAGGATTATATTGGATCATATTTGATGATTCAAGGAAGAAAATTGAATATATTAGATACTTGTGACTAAAATGGCCTCATACAATAGTCTAAAAGTACAAATAATCTCAAATGCATTAGAGTAGTCCTATATTTACCGATGGACATATACAGAATTCACATGAACTCCATTATTGAAGTAATAAACAGGAGGATTATTTTTTATCCGAGAATCTAGTAGGATAATTGAACTTATCAATCTCTCTTTTTTAGAGTTAGTCTCTAGATACAAGAGAATTGTGAAATTTACTATATGCTAAAGTATGCAATTTGCAGTAAAGCTAAGAAGACCTAATGTTCTCTGCATGAATCAAGGACACTAGGCTCAAAATAATAGCCCGCACAAATTTTTTTAAGATTCACTTGCTTACACTCCCAAAGTCACTCAACCACGGCTTTGAAAACTCTCATCGCATTTGGAGGACCCAAAACTTGGAGGGCAGTCACCTAACTTTTATCTAAACCTATATAACACTCATCAAGATTGCATTCACCCGGATCAAAGAGTCCAAGCTTAGTAGGCACTCACCTAGGCCCATTTACTCAAGCTAAGATGCCATTTTTCCATGTCTAATGGGAACTTTTCAGTTCAAGAATGATAACCTTTCTAGTCAACAGGACCTTCTAAGCATTCACTGAAGCAGTAATCTACATGCATTCCATTCAACAAAGTCTGTATGCTTGTAATGGATGTGTCATATATTTTGTTACTTAAATCAAAATATAGCATCTTTTCTAGTACCGAAAAATCATACAAATATGGAGTCAGAAGGTCGCATCAAGTGAAGAAATTCAACTCGGTATTTTCTAATGAAGTAATGAAAAAAATCCCAAAAGTTTCTCTATATGGTGCTCTCTAGCCCTCTTTTCTTATTTTCTTCTTACTCGGGGTTCTCTTGAAAATCTTGTGGGTTCTATAAGTAGAATTTAAGTATCACCACAGGCTGATTTAGATATAACAATACACATGCATTTTAATGCGATATTGATAATATAATCCTAGTACAATTTTGATGACTACTCTAGAATCGATAGAAATTTGTTAAAATATTTGTTTCAGATGAAACTCTTGAACTTTGCAACCCATTGAATGAATAAATCGTATGCTATAGTTTAATCAACATAAGTCAACAACTCAATTTACTTATGCATTACATTAATGTTTCTGTTATCCGAATTTTTCTTTGAAGCACGGAATAAATTTCTTATTTTTTATATTAAATGTATGTGGAATCATTTGTCCGTTAAGTTAGAAGTATGGCGGTATATATAGATTGATTCGGGATTCAATAAGCAATGCATGCATCAATTCCCGAGTGGTCAAATTTGACAAGATAATAACCCAACGTTATATTGAACTAGCTATTAACTGCAAAAAATAGGCTCTTGGGTAATGAAAATTCATAAAGATTATTGCAATGGCCGGCAAAGTATAACAACGATCTACCAATAAATCAATTCTTAGGCAAAAAGTTCTACCATTTTCCGGAAAATTAGCCTTAACGAAGTTTCTGAAGTCCCAAAACATGGATGAACAAATTCTTATCCAAATAAAGAGTTTCTTACTTAAAACGTGAAATATTTTATAGTAAGTTCACCAACATAATTGAACTTTTTTATATTTTAATTATCTTGTTTATCATCCTTGGGATAATTTGTGTAAATATTAATTCAGTTATACATTGAAATACCAACACACACTGCATTATTCTTTATGCTCTTTCATTTTGCCTATTTGAAATGTTAAAATTCACCATCTATAGTTCATCTTCAAGCTGCAAAACCGCCAAGCAAGCTTAATGTAATGATCATCTTAATCATTGTTCAGCTAATACATATTTAAGTATAGAAACACTTGGCAAATCATTAGGTGGTATCGTATAGAGAATTTTTATCATCAGGTCATTAATGAGCTACAAACGAGTAACATGGACTCATGGATGAATAAATCATATGCTATAGTTTAATCAACATAAGTCAACAACTTAACTTAGTTATGCATCACATTAATGGTTCTGTTACCATAAATGAAATGTCTTTGTAATGCATCGACAAGAATCTCGAGGAATTCTAACAGGTAAGAGACATGAAAGTACGGTCAGGGATAACCAATGAAAGTCAAAGTAGTCCACTAGAAAATTGAAAGTACAAATATTTATTAGGAGAATTAGAAAAGTTGAGATTATAAAAACCGACAATCACTGCAATATAATAGTAGTTTGACACTTGACACTTTGACTACAACAATTATAGCCAGGCTGCAACAACTACGATTGGTGGCAACAATAATCATAATTGGTTACAAAAACCGTAGTTAATAATTATAGCTATTGTAGTATTATAACAATAATGCCTGGTGGTAGTAGACAACAACTAGTAATCATTCACTTGTAGTTTTCTTCATGAGTTATGCTCTAGTTTTTTCGATCGCTCTTCTATTCTCCCTTCCATATAACAAGAAATGATGCTTATTGATAGTCTTTAAGATTGGCATCTTGTTAAATTTAGCCAAACTCCCAAAACACTCTATGGGAGGTTTGTGTTAATTTATTTAATCACAACTCATTTTTTTCAGCATTTAAGTGTATTAACGATCTAGAAATTAAATGATCTTGGGTTCGTTGGATTCCTATCATTAAGTCATTCGATTTGACTATAAACATGCCAGATTTAAATATCATTTAGCTTTGCAATTAATACTCTAAAGCTTTTGAATATGCTTCAAGTGCTTGATCTCGGCTTGTTCAAACTCGAATTGAATCATTTTCAATATCATTGGGTTCATATTGTTGAGATGCTCTATTTAACTATAATTTTGTTGAAATTATAGTTTGGATGATCTCGAATATGAACATGAAAAAGTTTTTATAAAAAATTCATCGAGATTTGTGTATGATCATATAAATTTCTTCGTAACATAACATGTACTCATATGCAACATAACAACTATTCTATTTGATGTTAACAAATGAGCTAATCCTAAAAGTAAACCAATTTAGCATGCGCATGACTATTGATTGGATTTGGTAAAATATTTTTTATTTCTCTTGAAATAAATTGCTTGACAAATCTGCAGAGGAAGAGAGGCGTGGGATCCACAGTGCATAAACTTCCTGAAGATTTTATTAATGAACACAGAGCCTACTTTGAAGAGGTGGATGCATTTGAACTGTGTGAAGAGTTCATCTTAGAAAGTGAACTTGAGTAAGTATTTTCGCTCCACATTTTCTCTTTCCCCTTGCAGAAGTATACCCTATAGCAACAAATTCAGCCTTTTATTGTAATATATATATATATATATATATAGCCCAAGGATTAATATATTAAAGAGGAAAAGGTACAGATAGGTTTGTATGAGTATATATATATAGCAAAGGAACTCACAGTATTTTGCTCAACTGAACTATGCTTAAGAGCTAGATTACATTACATAACAAAAGTAATAGAGTTTTATATAGTTCATAAAATTGGCAGGAAAGTGGTGGTTGAAGATATGAAAGAATGATAAATTTCATTTTTTTTTATATTATTTTATAGTTATATTGTTTGTTATTTTTATTTTTTGAACATTTGAGTGAAATTAATTGCATATTCAATATACATTATATGTACAAGATTTTATACTCAGTATCTTTCGGTTAAAAGATTAAGCTCTCAATTAAAATTAAGTTAGTGTGTGTGTGTGTGTGTTTGTGTATATATATATATATATATATATATATAACAGACTAAATTGTGTTGTCATTTAATTAAATTAATCATTTTAAGATAATCAGTGGATTAATTTGAATCTTAACATAATAAAAAATGTGTAATTACATATATTTACAAATCAAGTCTGCATTGTTTTTTAAAACTATTGAACCAATACATCAGTGCATGTCACGTTCAAATTATTGAGAATTTTATAAAAAATAAAAAATGTGTTGGGGTTGATCATGAATTTTGATATTTGAGTGAGAATTTAAAGGGGATGAAAAATGATGCTTGATTTGCAAATAGCAAAGTCTTGTGTGCTCTTTATGTAATTGACCCATTTTGAATATTGCCGTGTAATTTTTATATTTGAAATTTTTATATACTCTTTATATATATATATATATATATATATATATATATACATACAGTGAGTATTAATAAAAACAATATTATTATTTCTAATTAATATTTCTCTTTCACATTTGCTCGTCTCAATCAAATTCCATCGAAATGACTCACTTTTTATGCGTGTGTGCTATCGAATATATTATTATCAAAATAACAATATTGCAGCTCACATTTTGATATTCAAGATTTAAAATATGTATCAATAAAAAATAAATAAAATGCAGTCTTACAAATTTTTTTGGTAGTCTTTTGATTCCTGAGATTTAAAATAAACATCTTCAAAATACTTTAAATAGATTATATTTCAATTACATTAAATTAATTTTTCAGCAAATCAGACCTCTTTAATGCTCTGTGTGGAGCAATGTTGAATGAATGGTAATTGGCAATTTAATAATTATTATGAGCTTTTCTATTTACTTACAAGTTACATCTTACTGAATTAACTTTAGAAAATAATTTTTCTCATTATACATAACCATCTATATAATTTAATTTTAAATATAATCAATACAATCATACAAAAAAGAAGACATGAAATGGAGTTGTAATTAACATAATATATATATAT